TTTTTTCAAAAGCGGCCGGCAATTCTATTATCACATCTTTCCCATTAATCTATCGTGTTTTATTGTGCCACGTCGTGGCGTAAACATGAGCAATTATCCTTGTTGAAACGGTGTAGAGCGATGTACAACAATATTTATTTCTTCAACACCTTGTAAGTATTGTAAAGGCGATGCTTTTTTCTGATCAAAACAAGTAAAGATTTACCGATTGTTTGATTTTGTTAATTCGATTAACATTTGATTAATTTGCTCCCGAAATGAGTTGCAATTTACTTCAGTCAATCACTTCGGACCTCCAGTCGCCTAGTGTTTGATAAATTGAAATCATACATATATGTGGGATGAGGTTCCGAATTGAACCAAAGACCCGTTGCTTTCGAGTCAATCGTTCTCTCACGGAACCACGTGTCATCCCGATTTGTGTTATAATAAATATAATAGAAATGTGTAATGTAGTACCGACTGACATAATGGTTGTCGCTGTATGTCATCTCGAGTATATTAAGATTTTTTTTAGAGTAAAAGAGAAACAATTTATTAGGGAAGAATTCCATTAAGAATTTTGTTATAACAATCAAGAAATGTTATAAAATGTATTATTTGTGTATCTTATTGGAAAACATCCATTATCACTCATATTCATTTTCTCAATAGAAACAAAATTAAAATTCATGTAAAATTAGCATCAAAATCCTGTTTTAAAATTCTTTTCGTTATACATTAATGATGGATCAACAGCATAATCGTAATGTTGTTTTACAGGCAGCGGGTATCGTCGTCGACATGATAAAGTCGAAGAGAATGGCAGGACGTGCCGTGTTGTTGGCTGGTCCACCGGGCACAGGCAAGACCGCGATAGCGCTCGCCATCGCTCAGGACCTCGGTAACAAGGTGCCCTTCTGTCCTATGGTGGGCTCGGAAGTTTACAGCACGGAGATCAAGAAGACGGAGGTTCTCATGGAGAATTTCAGGAGGGCCATTGGCCTGAGGATCAAGGAGACCAAGGAGGTGTACGAAGGCGAAGTCACCGAGTTGACGCCTGTCGAAACGGAGAATCCCATGGGCGGCTACGGGAAAACCGTGTCACACGTAGTCCTCGGGATGAAGACTTCCAAAGGCACGAAGCAATTGAAGCTTGACCCTTCCATATACGAGTCTCTGCAAAAGGAGAAGGTGGAAACCGGCGATGTGATCTACATCGAAGCCAACAGCGGAGCGGTGAAGAGGCAGGGTAGAAGCGATAATTTTGCCACGGAATTCGATCTGGAGGCGGAGGAATATGTTCCCTTGCCGAAAGGCGATGTACATAAGAAGAAGGAAGTCATTCAGGACGTGACGTTGCATGATTTGGACGTGGCTAATGCCAAGCCGCAGGGAGGGCAGGACATAATGTCCATGATGGGACAATTGATGAAACCAAAGAAAACCGAAATTACAGGTAAAAGAAAAAATTATAGCAACACACTATTTATACGGGATCATACATAATATTAATCTTCAGTAAGAGAGTTTAAAACTTAAAATGAGAAAAAATATATTACTTGTTTGTTGAGTTGATAATAAATTGAAGATAATGCTTTTGTAGAGCGCTGTTCTGTTCAATAACAAAATGAAAATGGGCATATTAATATCTTTTATGTTATTTATATCTTATTTTTCGCAGACTCAGTTATACATTAAAGATAGAATTTCTATAATAAGATTTCCAGATAGAATTTCTATTTTGTCTAATCAGGAATAAATTATTTCAGATAAGCTGCGGAAGGAGATAAACAAGGTAGTGAACAAATATATCGACCAAGGCATCGCCGAGCTAGTACCAGGAGTACTGTTCATCGATGAGGTTCATATGCTGGACATAGAGACGTTTACCTATCTGCACCGCGCGTTGGAGAGTGCCATAGCGCCGATCGTCATCTTCGCTACGAATCGCGGCCGCTGCGTGATCAGGGGAACCGAGGACATCGTCTCTCCGCACGGCATACCTCTCGACCTGTTGGACCGTCTCCTCATTATAAGAACTCTCCCGTACTCCAGGCAAGAGATCGAACAAATAGTAAAACTGAGAGCTGTCACGGAGGGGCTGCAAATCGACGACGAGGCTCTGTCCAGTCTCGGCGAACTCGGCACGAAAACTACTCTGAGATACGTAGTACAACTTTTGACGCCCGCGGCTCTGGCGGCGAGAGTCAATGAAAGAAGTAGTATTAAAAAAGAGGACATTGAGGAAGTCAATGCGCTCTTCTTAGATGCTAAATCGTCCGCCAAGATTCTAACGCAAAATCAAGATAAATTTATGAAATAAAGCTTAATTTTACGATAATTATTTTTTTCCTCAATTCGTCAGGGACAATTAGAGAGTGAGAATTTAATTAATTATTCGATATTTGCCGATTGCACTTTAACTTTTTCAATACTTTGATTAGTTATTTCTTTAATTAAATTTAATAAAAATCATTATTTTAAGTGTACATATAGTGTAGTGATATTAAAAAATATAAAACCATTACAAGGAAATAGTCTTATATATTGAAACATTTCTCGTATAAATTTAATTATTTACGTACGAATGTTTATATCAGCAACATTTCATAAATAAAAACTTGTGAAACATAAACTAAATTTGTCTTTGCGATCTTTTTCAATGTAAATTCATTAACATTAAGTTAACAATTAATTCTAACATACGAGAGTTATACGCGCTACACGAAATCTTCTGGGTATTGCACAACGTCTCGCAAAATAGGCGGGAAAATAAAATTTGTTTGTTTAAACATTCCATTAGACCGTACTGGATCAAACGTTAAACTTCTCAGCGTCAACACTCACGAGATATTAACGACGAAAATAATTTCTCAATATTGTCTTAGACGTCGTGCGAACTCAGGGTTCAAAAGCTGAAAAGTTCAAGCTGTAATCGGGAGTTGTGACATCACCCGTGCTGATATCTACACCCTGAGTATAAAACCTCCGTCAACTTTAACACTCGTTAGTTTTAAGGAGATCCTCGAGTGACCGTAATATTAAATACCAAGCATCGCATTCTCATTCTATACATTTTTGAGTGCACGTTATTCTTGAAAGTTGATGACGATGCAGTACGCTTTGAAAATGGCAAGGTGTTCCCGGCTTCTGAACAAGCACAACATCGTGGCACGGCACACGCGTGGCTTGCAACTGACGAGTAGTTCGCAGAGGCGGAACATGGGCAAACTGCTTCCGCAAAAGGAGGAATTTCAAGCGAGGCACATCGGGCCCAGGGAGCACGAGCAGATAGAGATGCTGCGACTAATTGGATTCAAGGTAATTTGCCCCTGAAAATTATTTTATACTTGATGAAAATACTCGCGTTAAATCCGCGACTGAATTGATTTTCGCTCGCAATATTGCAGAGTCTCGATGAATTAACGGAAGCGGCGGTGCCAGCTAAAATTCTTCACAAGGGAGATTTAAATCTCGACGAGCCAGTTAGTGAGTAATTTTCTCAATCAGCGTACACGGTATATTTAGATCTTATCAACGCTTGATCGCGCTAATTTGGTGTAAATTGTTAGGGGTCTTTGTTCCATTGTTCGCGAAATTACGCGCGGGTTTCTCGTAGGAATACATAAATAGCAAATACGTTTTTTTTTTGTTCTGCTCTTGTGAGGTACGGCGTGAGATAACTCGCGGGTCACTCCGCGAAAACGTGACAAGTCACGAGACTTACCGATTCGAGACTCGCCTTCACTGATAACCCTACAAATCGTTATCTCCGGGTCACAGTTCAATCTCGTGCGTCGGCATCGCTTTCACGTGCTCTTTTCAAATGGACTTAATCGCATGCCGTCACATAGACTTCTATATTTAATTTCCTTCCCGCGATACCGCGCGTGCTGCAATGCAACTATATACACATGCTACATATTTTCCTTTTATCACATTTGCGCATCTTCTTTGCAATAATAACACGTCGAATGATGATTAGAAAATTCTAAATCGTCATATATAAAAATGAGATAAAAATTGATGGCAAATAATTTTCGCAGCCGAGTACGAACTAGTGAAGCGGATCACCAAAATTTCGGAAAAGAACGAGGTATGGCGCTCCTACATAGGCATGGGGTACCACAACTGCTGCGTGCCGCATACGATTATGCGCAACATTTTTGAGAATCCCGGATGGTAAATCGTGCTAACATAATTGAGAAAGAATGAGATACGTAAGAAATCCGCCGTGTAAACAATTTCATTACATGTGTTTCGCCATAGGACGACGCAATATACTCCTTATCAGCCGGAGATTTCGCAAGGACGGCTCGAAGGCTTGCTGAATTACCAAACCATGATATGCGATTTCACGGGCATGGAGGTGGCGAACGCTTCTCTCCTGGACGAAGGGACAGCGGCGGCGGAGGCCCTGGCGCTCGCGTACAGGCACAATAAGAGAAGGAAATTGTTTCTCTCCGACCGTGTGCATCCTCAGACTATCAGCGTTATCGCAACACGCGCCGCTTCCCAGGGTTTAACGCTAGAAGTCGGAGACGTGTTTAAAGTGGACACCAGCGGAAATGACATCGCCGGTATTCTCCTGCAGTATCCCGATACAACTGGCTGTATCCACGACTTCGAGGACGTTGTCATGAAGGCGCACGCTAACGGGGTGTGTGTTATTAAAAACTAAAAAAAAAAAAACATACACGTGTCAGTAAAGATACTCCCCATGAATAATTCTAAGAAAGAGTTCTGTAATTTTTATAAACGATTATTAGCACACGTGTATGTTATTAAAATCGATATCAAATCATAATAACGTAATTCTAAGTAAGAAAGCTAAAGTTACAATAATTCTAATAAGAAAGATAGAATTCTGTAATTTTTATAAACGTTTAAGAAAGATGAAATTCTGTAATTTTTATAAATGGTTATTAACACGCGTATAATAACGTTAGAATCGCAATATCAAATAATAACGACATACTTTCCTCCACACAGACACTCGTCTGCGCTGCCACCGACTTACTGGCGTTGGCTATACTTCAACCGCCGAGTGACTTCGGTGTCGACATATGCGTGGGTACGAGCCAACGTTTCGGCGTGCCTCTCGGATACGGCGGGCCTCACGCCGGGTTCTTCGCGTGCCGGCAGAAACTGGTGCGACTGATGCCCGGCAGAATGATAGGCGTTACGAGAGATTCCAGCGGCCAGGACGCTTATCGGCTGGCCCTACAAACGCGCGAGCAGCACATCAGGAGGGACAAGGCCACCAGCAATATCTGCACCGCCCAAGCGTTGCTGGCCAACATGTCCGCGATGTACGCGGTTTATCACGGGCCTCAGGGGATACGCGACATCGCGAGCAGGGTGCACAATTTGACGCTAGCTCTGGCGAAGGGCTTGGATACGGCTGAAAACGCAATAAATAACATATACTTCTTCGACACGATTACGGTGACGCCGAGGATGTCTGTACAGACGATAAAGGAAAATGCGAATAGGGCTAAAATAAACTTGAGGTATTTCGCTGGACGAACGGCAGTAGTTAACGGTGCTGTCGATAAAACTGCGAACGAAAATTTACAGGTATTTTAACAACGGTACGATCGGAATATCCCTCGACGAGACGACGACGGCGGAGGACGTGAACGATCTCTTCAAGATATTTTCGGCGAACACTACGGTCGAAGAGGTGGTGAAGGATGAGAGCTTCCTCGCGAAGAGTCTGGACAAGTCGGATTTCCACCGTACCATTTCGTACCTGCAGCATCCCGTCTTCAATAGCTATCATTCGGAGACGAGATTAGTTAGATACATGAAGTCCCTGGAGAACAAAGACGTATCTCTTGTACACAGCATGATTCCACTGGTGATTATTATTATTATTTTTTTAAATATTTTACACTCGTACACACACGCTCGTTTCTTTGCTAATGCTAACGTTTTTTTTTTTTTTCGTCAGGGTTCTTGCACAATGAAATTGAACTCAACGACGGAGATGATGCCTTGCAGTATGAAGGCTCTCACGGACATACATCCTTTCGCGCCGCTCGAGCAGGCCGAGGGATACCAGCAACTGTTCGCCGAGCTGGAACGAGATCTGTGCGCGATCACCGGCTACGACGGTATCAGCTTCCAGCCGAATAGCGGGGCGCAGGGCGAATACGCGGGTCTGAGGGCTATACAGTGTTACCACGAGTCGAGGGGCGACAGGCATCGGCAGGTCTGCCTGATCCCGATATCCGCGCACGGCACGAATCCCGCGTCCGCGCAGATGGCGGGTATGCAGGTGGAACCGATCCTCGTGCGGAAGGACGGCTCCGTCGACATGGCGCACTTGAGAGAGATGATCGACAAGTACCGAGAGACGCTGTCGTGCCTGATGATCACGTATCCGTCGACGAACGGAGTGTTCGAGGAGACGATCGGCGACATATGTAACATGGTGCACAACGCCGGCGGGCAGGTGTACCTGGACGGCGCCAACATGAACGCTCAAGTCGGCCTGTGTCGACCCGGTGATTACGGCAGCGACGTGTCGCATCTCAATCTGCACAAAACGTTCTGCATCCCTCACGGGGGTGGCGGACCGGGCATGGGTCCCATCGGGGTGTAAGTAAATAATTAATTCGATCTCAGAATCTTATATATATATATATATTGTGTTTTAGAAGTTATATAAGGAAAAAAAATATATAATTTATAGGAAGCGACATCTCACACCTTTCCTGCCGAATCATCCGGTAGTAAGTTGTTCGGGTAACGGCTATAGTGATTTGAAGAATCTCGGTGCCGTATCGGCCGCGCCTTTCGGATCGTCCGCCATTCTACCGATCTCATGGGCTTACATCAAGATGATGGGCCCAAAAGGCTTACGCAAGGCTACGCAGGTGGCTATTCTCAACGCCAATTACATGAGCAAGAGATTGGAGAAGCATTACAAAACGTTGTACAAGGGTGACACCGGGCTGATCGCGCACGAGTTCATCCTGGATGTGAGAGACTTCAAGAAAACTGCCAACATCGAGGCCGTTGACATCGCGAAGAGATTGATGGACTATGGTTTCCACGCGCCGACGATGAGTTGGCCGGTGGCTGGTACATTGATGATCGAACCGACCGAATCCGAGGACAAGACTGAATTGGATAGATTTTGTGATTCATTAATCTGTAAGTGTTCTAAAAAATTTAAATAGCGCTCAAAGAATCTCAATGATGAGCATTAACGCTCTTATTGTTTACTCGTTCGTATTTCTCGATAGCTATAAGAAAGGAGATTGCGAACATTGAGGAAGGAAAATTAGATATCGTACAGAATCCTTTGAAAATGGCACCTCACACGCAGGAGCAAGTTATAAAGACCGAATGGAATCGACCATATTCGCGAGAATTAGCGGCTTTTCCTGCGGTAAGTATCTCATGAGTATTGTGTATATATATATTAAACGTATGTTAATTAATTAATTTTCTTAGACATTTGTGAGAGGAAGCAATAAGATTTGGCCAAGCGTTGGAAGGATAGACGACATATATGGTGATAAGAATCTATTTTGTACATGCCCGCCCATTTTGCCTACAGAGCAATAATTGTGTGATGTTATATTTATATACCATGTACAGTTATTACTTATCTAATGTAGGACTATTTAAATATTTATTATTACTTTTATACAAATATATTATTTATATAAAACATAATGCTTTTTTTTTATCTGTTGTAGACGAAATATAACGAGAATCTGTCAGATTTAAATTTTTAGCAAATAAACTGTCATTTTTGTCATCGCTCGTAGAATCTCTCTTTTCTTTTATATCTAATTTCTTATACGAGTATTTACACATAAATCCTACATACTTTACATATTTTGTACATTATAGACCAGGCATAAGGTAAGCAATGTTGTCGAGCATTTGGGAAAGTGTTTCAGGTTTAGCTCCGTTAGTTTCCGGCAATTGCTGCGTTAAACAAATTAACGGGCCTAAGGCACAGAGTAACGAATCCAGTAGAACCGAAAGGCTGCCGGAAACAGCTATTTGACCGTCGTGCTCCTTCAAACGTTCCCCAATGATTGTCAGGCTTTCACCGAGCAGTTTGAGATGGGCTGCAACGTCGATCGGCTGTGTTCCAACGACCTTGTACATCCCCGTGCCGATTATCGGCTCATTAACCAGATCTTTACTGGTGCGATTCGACGGCGGTGAGATTGGAACATTCCCAACGACAGACGGCACGCCGAGTTGAATAGTCTTTTTTGCAGAAGCGGTCTTCGTTTCTTTCGCATTGCCTGAAATACAACGTATACGGAATAACTTGTTAATGTCGTACCGAATATTTAAATTGTGAAATACACGCATACAAGAGTCAGACCAAGATATATCAACTACAAAGATCGCAAGACAAATATGTATGTATATATATATATAATATCCGATTTAATATCTTTTGGCTAATGCACATGCACACGGAGAAAAGAGGCAAAGATACGATAAAACTACCGCATAACACGACACACACAAATCGTACATAGCCTATGTACAAGAACCAACGAACCCACCAAGTTTATTAATGAATTTTTTTCGCGAGGCGGGTGGTGGCATTTTCCAAACGGGCTCATCTTTACTTGCCGGTAAAGGATGAGGCTTTGCGGCTAAGCGCTTTGCACGCCTGCGCCAATTATACTTTTCCAGATGTGGTACTGTAGCCCACAGCTCTCCTAATCGCTTAGAAATTGCCGCAAAATCTACGAAAAAGCAACGATCAATATACAACATCGAGATTCGCATGCGTTTGTAGCTTAAAGAAAAAAAATTATATATGTATATATAATAGCTCAGATACCCATGTAAGGAGATTGCTCTAACAGTTCTTGCCTAATTTTCTTTGCCCATAGCATATAAGCGGTAAATCTCGTTTTCTAAAAATGTCAAAAGATTAAGGCCCTTCTTTGATATTTTCCATTCGCTCTCCACTAGCTACGTACCCCTTTATCCTTGCGCTGTGCCTTCGTCTTGCCTATAATTTTCCCATCCTTAATAATCAACTTTTTCTTACATTTTTCAAGCATATATAAACTATTTGCTTGGGATGTTTCCTGACCTAGTGGCGGCTCCAGCTTCCTGAATCCCATTTCTCTCTCGTCGATCATAAGCGGATCCACCTCATTGTCGCTACCCGAGTCCAAACTGTATCTCTCCTCCTCGTTCATCCCAGTGGGATCATCAGATTCTGAACTGGACGACTGTCCCTCGTTTTCAGACGAGATCTCCAGCTTGATCTTCTGTTGCGCATGATTCGAGCCTGAATTCTTTCTCTGTTGCCCGACATTAACTGCCTGGCTAGATTGCGTGGGCAACGGCTGCTGCTGCTGTTGTTGCTGCTGCTGCTGCTGTTGTTGTTGTTGTTGTTGTACCTCATACTGATCCAAGAGTTGCTGTTGGGTTTGCAGTTGCTGCGCCTTCTGCCGCTTGAGCTTATTCTCGGTCAGATCGTCGGACTCGAAGTCGACCAGCTTAGAAGATTTCTTCCTCACACGGCCACTACGGGAGATACCCGTGACCTCTAGATCTGAAAGATAAAGCAGACTGCACCTTGCCAAAAAAAAGGGGGAAACAAACCAATGTGTACTTTGCAATAACTAACTACCAGGCTTAAACATTTATAGAGTCAGGAGATAGGCAACAGTGTATAGAAATACTACTTCTAGGCAGGCTACAACGTATCAGCTACTAAAGATGTGTGGGCAGCCAGTCGCAGTACAACTCGCACTTCACTTTGCCTCGCCACTTTTCATTGAGAACTCTGCATTACGTTTTTATGAAAAACAATTATTTCAAATTAAATACATCATAGATAGGAGATGACAATGTAAGATGACTCTAAGGTGAGAATGAAAGCTCTCTCTCTCTCTCTCTCTCTCTCGACATTCATCCAATTTGTTTACTCTGATCATTCATCAAGTCCATTCGTTAGGTATACGCGATATGTGAGTTGCAAGACCGTTTAAGCAGCATGTAAAAACGGAACGTGAGCGTTCCTCCTTCGAACGTCATAGACATACGGAGAGGTGATTCGGGCGCGATTGAGGTTAGAACAGGTTAGAATCTCACGAAATCTCCTGGTTTTTTCCTTCTGACAATTGATAAACAACGAGTTTGTGTACGGCGCGCAGTTAGTACGACGATTATCCGCCACGTACGCCGAAGCGCTTAGCTCTCTCTTTCTCTCTCTCTCTCTCCCAATACATAACGCCAAAACGTAAATGAAAAGACTCCGGAGATACTTAAGATTTTTCTACGTACGCGCGCAGAGATCATGCATGATTCACCGCAAGCGATACCAACGAGCAAGCAAACAGCCGATCTGTCCGAGTATGCAGACGCAGAGAAGCGTGACGTAGAACCAGGATGCTCACCGTCGCCCTTTTGAGCGCGTGCTTTCGACGAGCCGAACACATCCATAGCGTCGTTCCGGCTGGCGCTGACAAGACAAGACGCCCGCGCCGGCCGCCGCGACACGGGGAGGCGCGCGCCGCGCCGCGGCGCGACGCGGTACCCGCGCGCGCACTCCGCGCGCGCGACTGGCGCGGCCCGCGCAAACGAGAGACGCTGCATGCATTGCCACGATTTCGGCAGGTTTCCGTCCGGTAAGATACACATAACCACTCGCGATTCGAAACCTCACTTCGCGTGTTCCGCGAATGCTGTATCGATAAAAGGAGAACGTGCGAAATTTGTATTTGTATTTGGAGGAATCGACATTATTTTCATCCGTCGAGACTCGCGGATACGCGACGAAATTGTCGGTCTCGGGCATTCGTTCCGTAACTTTGCGAGAATCGCCGTAGGAGGATCGCTCTGGAAGAATTTCCAGGCAACACGAAGTCCAAAAGACGTCTCGGAAACGTTCAGACGTCCCCGCGCAAAAATACTGCTTTTCAAACGTTTCACGCCCCCGATTTTGGACCTTTCGCTTATTTGCGAGTGGCACTCCTTCCGAAGAGACGCGCAGCTAACTTCACGAGAGACGCCAGGTATTAACGGCATTGGCGCTCGGCCCGGGCGATACTCGCGGTGCGAAACACTTTTCTCGCGCGTCGCGATCGTGAATATTGTCAATAATCGGGAAAGGGAGAACGAGAATCTATGCGGAAATTGAGGACAGAACCGAGACGATTCGTTTTTCGTGCGGCTGCCAATGGGTACGTGACGAAATTATTGTCTATCTCGTTGTCGCGCATTTCCGCGAGCGCGCGAGCGGCGATCGAGGGACGCCGTAGCCATTTGCATTTCACTTTTCGCGACGCGATCGGCAGTTTTAATGTTCTAATTATGATTCCGCGGTACGAAACTTCATGAGAGACGTGAATTCTCGTGAAAACGTCGGGCAGAGGGAAGAGAAACTTGTATAGGAAGAGTAGATTGAGAAATTCATTTGTTGAGCGGCTACTGTTGGAAGTACGTGATATTTTTATTATTTAATTATTTTTATTTGCAACTACGCTTCTTTCTTGACGCGCAATCGTAAAAATAAATTTTTTTGAAATTTTATATGCTGCTAATAATGATAAAAATTTAGGAAATTCGTACTGATATACATTGGCTACTGCTAGAAGTATAATATTTTTATTTAATTATTTTTATTTGTAATTACGCTTTTTTCTTGACTCGCAATCGTAAAGATGAATTTTTATAAAATTTTACATGCTGCTATAATTTGTAAATTTAGGGAATTTTTATTAACATAAAGCCGCTATTAAAAGTACGTAATAACATTTTTATTATTTAATTATTTTTATTTGTAACTGACTCGCAATCATAAAAATGAAATTTTGTAAAATTTTATACGCTGCTGATAATTTGTAAATTTAGAAAAATTCTATTTTAATGGCACTTATTCATATAATATGAGTAACATATTTATCATTTATACAATAGATACTCGTGAAATAAAATTTATTTTTCATGTATTTTTCATACATCATTTTTTTATGTATGAAATAATCAATGTGAACTGAGTATTTGTGACGACAAAAAATGCAGATGCAATAATATAAATATAATATGATACTTATCTTCATTTATATGATAAAGTTGTTATTGTGCAAATGAATGTAATACTTAAAACACAAACATATATATTACACTTTCAAAATTATAGCTATTACTATTAGTTCTAGCTTATTACTTATAGATTATTAAAATGTATAAAAAAAATATATATTAATAATACAAATTATTATGATGCTATCTATACATGTGAAAAAAAAATAATAAAAGCAATTTCATTATTTATTTTCACATATAGATAGCATCATAATTATTACACTTTTAAAATTATAGCTATTACTATTAGCTTTAGCTTATTACTTATAGAACATTAAAATGTATAAAAAATATATATTAATAATACAAATAATTATGATGCTATCTATATATGTGAAAAAAAAATAAAATTGCTTTATTTTATTTTTTTTTCACATATATAGATAATAATGTATTATTAATAAATATTTCTTATACGTTTTAATAATCTATAAGTAATGAGTAAAAAATATATATTCAATATATATATATAATAATTTGTATTATTTATATGTTTTTTATACAACACATTTTTTTTTCATTGCTCATCAAACAACGTTGAAGTAATTTTAATCATCTATGATTTTATATATTGTCTATCACTTTTTACATTCCTTCAAGAAATATTTGATATAGTATTCTACAGTCAGGATGTATCAATATAGAAATATCAGTTTTATAAAATTTATCAAAATTAAGTGACTGATATATACAGATATCAACATATAATCAATTAAATTAAATTAAATACTGTCTTCTTGTTGCCAACCATCTTCGTCAGACAGAAACCTCCTTTTGTGACTTGTGTTCATGTAAGGCCTCAGAGCCCATTCTGTGTCAGCGGATGATTCAGTGTCCAGAGTTCCTAGCTTGATCTCGTATAACTTCATTTGAAAGCGTGGCCCAACCTCTGTCAATTCCACATTCCTTCCCTGAGTCTTCTTGTACGTGTGATGCCGGAAGCATATGTAATCATCGTGGTTAGCAAAACTAATTACTCTCTTGCTGTCCTCTTTAGGTACGGGGAACAAGTACTTCAGTATTTTCATCACTCTCTCTCCTAGCTTCGTCTTGAAATTGTGGAAGATCAGATGTGGATGCTGCTCCGACATCGTGCCGATGTCGGGTATATCGTGTCGCATGATGACGCCGGATAACGTGAAGTAGGCCGTCGGTCCGTACGGCAGGTGGCATATCACCAGAGCGTCCGGAACACCCCGGTGCTCGTGCACGATGACGAAGTCCGTGACGTCGTTGGCGCGGCAGGCGTGGATCAGCTGCTTCATTTCGTAGTTACCACGATTCATCCGCTGCGAGTTCGGGAATATCAGCCGGAGCTCCTTCGCGAACATCTTCAGCCGGGAGCTCGGGTCGCGGGACGTCGTGATGACGATCTTCGGGTCCTCCACGCCGGCCCAGCGATACTCGTCGTCCTCGTGGCTCGCCACGGTGCCGCCCATCTCCGTGCCCCTGGCCACTGCCATCTCCGGCCCCGCGTCCTCCCATTCGATCTTCCTTTGCACGTGTAACGCGCTTTTCCTCAGATCCGGATGGATCGGTGTATTCTCCTCCAAGTTCCGCTTCAGCTGATCCTTCTTCTCTTGGATACCTTTCACCTTGTCCTGCACGGATTTCCTGTAGAGGTACTCTCGACGTAATCGCGCTTGTCTTCGCAACATTTTTGCTACTTAAAGTTGTATTCCGTGTTGATTGTTATAAGAAAAACTTTCTGTAATTCTCTATCTTGAGCAGCGTGTTTGGCAACAGTAACGCACTCACTTGGAGGTTATGATACCACGTGCCCAGTGCCGCATGTGCTTTCGTAAGGCGCATTCATATTATAGACTCTAGAAATAAGAACCAACCAAATGTAACTTGATGCACTTGATTGGTCAGCTAAATTTGTCCGAAATTCCATACAAGATCTGTTCGTCATCTATTAACTGCATTTTTTTTCTATTAAAAATATATTCAGATTTTTGAGAAAAAATAGCCACAAAGAAATATAGCTGAAAGAAATTTATAGTATAAGTTAATTCTAATCTTTTCTAGTTGCACAAAATTATTAATAATAAATTAGTTTGCATGTAATAATTATAATTTTTAAATATCTATAATATTAAAGTTATATTTTTTCTTTGTTTAAAGTTAGCAAAATTGTTAATTATTTTGATTAAAGTATATATATTTTTTAATATATGCATATATTGTTTTAACAAAGATTTCTCTGGAATTGTAATTTAAAAAATTTTTTACATTTATGAGATTCATAAATTAGAATTAACTAGTACATCAATTTAGCGAACATTTAAAGCTTAATTAGTTTATCAATTAATTGTAACGCTGCATAAACATTTTTTAATTCAATATTTTACAAAACATTTAACGAAAATTCTTAATAATTTGTTCTATATTTGCTTCTCGTTTAAAATTATAATGTTAAATTATAATTAGTATTATACTATATTATATTATTACGTGACTTATACATTTCTCTTCTTATTTTTAAAAGACTCAATTAAGGACTCGCATCTATTTCTATTCGAGAAAGTTTACTGAAATAACTTATCTTTTAAACATTCTTTAAATGTCTCATATTTCTCACGGTTTTTTTTTTGTGTTGTTCGAGTGATTGTTCTTGTGTGTATCGCAACGTACACTTTGCGAGAAAATGCAATATAGCGCGACTTGAGAAATCAGCCTGCTTCTCCACACGCGCGGCTTACGGTGTTCGATTTGGATGTGTTATTTTGTGTGTAACCACCTGAGAGTGCGGCCAATCACGCATGAAAGTAACAATGAATAGCATCGAAATAGGCGGATAGACAGCCAGACCGGTCATTTTGTCCGGTGCGTTCGAGCATTTGTGTATGCATGTGTGCGTGCGTGTGTTTCTCCTTGCGCACACACATACATACGCGGTTCACCGGAGTCCACGCCTTAGGCATCCTCTTCCGCATTTCATGTCGGAAGAGGAAAAATTCCTTGTTCTACGATTATATACACGGGGTAAAGAATGTTTCGCGAAATATTTTGTAAAATATTGAATTTAAAAAATTGTTTGCAGCAGCGCGATTGAAAAATTAATTGTAGACTAATGAATATAAATGCAACTAGATGGGTGGGACTTATATTGCTTTGCAACTTAATTGACTCAAAATGCGTGAGAAATGCGCTAACAAATTCGTATTAAAAAAAATGTAATTATGCATGTGCATGTGTTACATTTCCTCTGTCTATGCTTCTTTGCTCGCGTGTTTACGCAGTAAAAACTTCCTCTTTTAATAATATATCGAATAAAATATTTATCGTACAGTGTTTTATTGTCATAGCGTTAATTTTTAATGACTATATATAAATTTACAATCAACATTAAGATAATTTCAGAATTATACTTGATATGAAGAATGAGGTTTCAAGTTTCGTTTTACAAATGGAGCGATCGAACTTTATCTCTAATTTAATTTTTAATTAATTTATAATTTAATAATTAAGATTACAATATATTTAATATTAAAAACTTGCGCCATATCACACTCTTCTAAATAGTTTCGATAATTTTCGTTTAAGAAGGCGAAACACCTTGAATATAAATATTGGATCAACGATCGACTATAACTCGCGATGAATAGAATTGCTATCACGAATTGTCCACGCGTGAGAGAAACTTGATTCGCGTTACGCGTTTTCCACAACAACGTGTATATAACGATGTCAGCTATGTCCGGGCGATGCCGGTCAGTCCGTATTATAGCAATTCAATAATAAATTGTAGAACGGCTCGGTCGCCGCATTATGCGCCGGTAATCACAGTAATAAGCAGTTCTAAAAGTAACGTAAGTACGTTGTAGGTAGTAACGAGTGGAGCGCTGTAATCTCGGGGGATGCCTCCTCTCTGTATTCCTGGCGAGGCGAAGGGGGAGAGAAATGGGGACGGAGGGCTGAAACGTTGGGAGGAAGAGGGGAAATACGAGGGAGGTGAGAGACAGAGAATGAGAAAGAGAGAGAGAGAGAGAGGGCCCATGGGCGTCATCCTCGCTATATGTTCCTGAATCGGCATAATTTACAGCCTCGTCCGAGCAAATTGAGCGCGTTTATGCAAAAGGGACGACATAAAGCATGATCGACATGACGACGATCATTAGAAACCGGACTCGGCTGTGCCGCCGCTTTTCCTTCCGGCGAAGGAAGCGTTTTGCCCTCGCACATTCGCCGATGATTTCGCCTTGCCACCGACGACGATGCTGACAATTTTTCAATCATCTTCAGACGATGATTTAGCATCTGTCTTACTTACGATTTTTTTTTATATATAGCAACGTTCGGAGATGATTTATGTCTAATAGGGAGAGGAATTACTGAGCATAAATGTTTTATATTAATCTCGTGAATTTGTCTGCGTTTAGAGATAACTTTGCACACGATACACTGGTGGATATACATACACGCGATGCGTCCGATGATTTACGCACTTTTTAATTTCTTTTTACACGCACATTAAAGCGTAATTAACAAAATGTAATTATTTTATCTTATAATCGTTCAAAATTTAACGTTGCTTCGTGAATCAGATCTCGCATACGGTCGCAGCTTTCAACGCGGTCGAAATTATCTTATCTAAAGTATATAGCCGAGTATTTTTTGTTTGTTTTATTTGCAAATATAACGACGGATAGAGAGATACGTACGATCGAATTAGAAGTTGACGGCGAACCACGTTGTATGTACGCCTATGAGACGGGGTATGCGGGGACCGCGCTATACGTACCCGTTAAGCCAACATCTAATTCGATAACTGGCGAAAATAATAACGTAGCGATCTGTTGCGTTCGCGGCGCGCAATCATCCGTTTCGTACCCGTGTGTCCGCGAAGAGAACTATAAGGATCGAAGGCGCTTCTCCCGAGGATATTTTGTTGCTCGTACGAGCGTAATAATCGCTACCACCTGCCGTACACAAATATAATAAATACGAAAATATACTTCGAATCATCGAGCGATCATGACAATTTTATACTTGCGGATATCCGTGTCTGATTTTTCCGTCCGACGAGACTTACAGCGGATGGAAAAAGAGCACCAGTGATATCGTTGACTTATAAGAAATCAAAGCAACGGAAAAACGTCATTTGTCGAAAAATTGCCGGGTATAATTTAATCGCATCGACCTGGCATCATTAATTTAAATTGAATTGAATATGAAATAATTTAAATAGATTTAAATTAAAAGAAATCAAGCTTCAAAAATAAATTTGAATGCACATAACAATAAGGTAAAGCCAAAGTAATGCGAGCCACGCACATATTGATGTATATAACAATTTTATTGTTTCAATATATCCACCCCCACGCACACAAAATGAAATAATTTATTTAGTATTTTTTAATCGATCTAAATTGGAGTTATACAAACGAACACGAGAAATTAATACGGGCGATAATAATAACGTGCAAGAAATAATATCTTCGAGATTCTAACTTGGCGACGAAGGAATTGAAAATTGAAGCCGCGGCCGTCCGGTCGTTTAAACGAATCAGATAATTTTTCGGGCGCGCTTAAAGGACGAACGGTAGCGATTTATAACGAGGCCGGACTGTCGACTACCTCGGTAGCCGGGATGACACTTATTAAAAGTTTCGGTCCCCGAGGTGCGCGCCGGAGCATCGATCTTCCTCGATTCTCCCCGCGCGCGTCTTTCTTCTTCGAGCACGAGCGCGACATTGCCTTGTTACCCGTCCACGAGAAATACCGAACAGTTTAATAAGCAAGAGCGCGCGGTGGCGACGCGATATATATATATACCGCGATACAAGATACCGCGAGTGCCATCCATCACCGCGATGTGAATCCGGCCGTCGCGGCCTCTTCTCGTGGCGTTTTCGGCATGTCCGAGACACCCGAACCTTTTACGATCTTCCGTTTTCGTATCTCTCTATGAAGACCCCACGGATCACCGTATATATATCCCTTTAACTGCGGCTATTTTTCAAACGTCGTTGCGCCACGCTTGCGGGTGAAATTGTCGCCGACGAACGGGAAGGTGAAAAAAAGAAAAAAAAAATTATTATATTCATTGTGCGGCCGGTTTTAATGCGCCGGGCGATAACGAAAGCTTAGGTCGGTGCTCGGCATCGACCCGCCGTCATCCTAGCGAGGAGGTCGCGTGCAAAAAATACGTTAATTCCGCGTAGCTTGCATGACCGTGCAAATAAATAAAACGGCAAACACACATCGCGCGCGGCCTGCCTCGGTACCGTATTTTATATTTTATCCGGTTCGAATGATTGATTGCGCTCCCGCTACCGGGGGCTGAGTCCCGGACACGATAGCATCTCGCGAAATGCCCCCGGTCGCCCGACTGTACTTGTCGTTTCACGCATTGTTTATTATTGTCCGATGGTTTTATCACGATCGCGTCGGTATAGGGGAGCTGGACGCGGGGAGGGGGGTGGGAAGGAGGAAAAAAAACCCGGGATAACGATTCCTTCATCGACGTGCTTTCGGGATGCGAGAGAATAGCTACGAGCATGTCATTACTATTGTTATTCTACGATTGCGATGTAAATAGAATTTACGGCAAAGAGAAAGAGGGAGAGAGAGAGCGAGCGAAATGATATGGCTAGAGAAGAGAAATAATCGCGCGATTATTGCCAATGCGATGCGAACCGAAAGTTTTCGGTTTTTTGGCATGAACCGGAGTAAAAGAGGCAACGATCCCTATATGTACGTGTGGAAGATAGTAATTACAGAAGCGGGACTGAAAACGCGGGGCTCCATCAGACCCTGCGAGGCACGATCCTCGATAAGTATAGTTGTTTCAGGATCGCGTCGATGCCTCCTCTACTCCCGCTATCTCATTTTATTGGTACAGGTTATGTGAAAAATTTATTGGCTCCGACAGCGAGCGCGATCGCGCGTACCCGGGATGCGAACAATTTCGTCACCCGACCTCGGCCCCGGAGAGCCTATAAAAAACATTATTTGCGGAAGAGTATAGTTTCTCCTTTTCTTTTGAAAAATTTGGAAACTATTCCGCTACCACATATGTGTATCTCTCGCACACGAGATTTCATTTCGGCTAAATAAATTATTCAGA